ATTAATTTACACTTTTTCTTTGTTCTGAATTACGCTGAGTTTCAGATCAGCCTTAAAATATCGCTAAATATTTTTAGATTTTCAGTGTTTTCCATCGGTTGTCCATAAAAACAGATTCTGTATTATGTGTTTGTTAAAACCTTTCAAATGGCGATACTTCCAGAAGGCATTCATCACTTTGGAGAGAGGTAGGCGTGCTTTGTCATGTAGAAGGTCGCTTGGGTCACATTTGAAGGCTCACCCAAACATGAAACCTCACCATCGAAAAAATTGAGCGTCCAAAAAAGTCAATTACAAAAAGGCCTTCGATCAGTTAGAAAGCTTACCCTAATTAGTAACCTTTTAAGGAGTGATTTAATACTGCATTCTGTTGACAGATGTCTATATACTTTAGGTTAACACACAATGAATCCAAGGAACATGTTTCTACTTCTGGCTGTTTCTTTCATAGTTCTAAAAATATTCATATTTTTCAATTGCACACTTTAGATCACGCTTTCCTGTATAAATGATGCACACTTTCATTATCGTTGCTCGCTTTTAGGCTTCGTTCTATGATTATGAATGCATGACAGAATAGCCATATAAATGCTGATATTTTGTTGAAACTTAATATTCCATTCCATGCAAAAAATTAACCTGCACGATCGGTAAGGTTTCGTGTGTTCAGAGCTAAAAAGACTATTCGATGATAGGCAGTTTGGCGAGAAAATAGAATTTTCCAAATGATGAAATAATTTCGGTCTACTGTGATTGCCTGTGTAAGTCACTACTGCTCTTTAGGGCACCAAATCGCACAGCTTTGTTAATATGACTTTTAAAGATAGATAAAACGTCTGTTTCACTGAAATAACCTGTGTTATCAAACTACTTCCCACAGAAGGCATCAAAACATCAATTTTCAACTTTAGCAAGTTCTGTTGAGTAAAACCTCCGAGAGGAACGTACTCTTCTCTCAAAGGAAAGTAAGCTTAGATGCGCAATCGAAGTCTAGGACAGATACTTGCATGGGGAATAGTCCGGATATATCGCAACGTCCATTTTCGCTTAAATTAATGGACTTATTTTCTGCATAAGAAAGGGATATCTTTTTGAAGAGGATGGGCAAGGGAGCAGAATGCGCAATGTCTAAGATGTCTCAAAATTCTGTCTTCAGGTTTCGTGAGATAGGCCATTAAGTTTGCAAAGATAATTGACGTGAAAGGCTATACTGATTAGCAAGAAAGATTACCTCGAATTGGTTCATACACGATAGGATGTCGGATTTCGACGGGGAAAATGTGGAGTAATTTCGGATAATGGAGAGCAGTCGTTATCTTAAGATAATGTGTTTATTTGACCACTTTGCATGAGCCTAGCATTAAGTTAATTCCTTTGAAGCATAAATAAACAGTTTTATAACTACAGAAAACTCTTAAAAGGGGATAGGACGCTTTTCATGTCAGTAAATCCTGATGTAGCCGCTTGCTTCAACTTCATGCTTGAATAAGCTCTCGATGAAAACCACTCGATGTTCAGCGCAGTTTGCTAAACTTTGCTTCGTTTTTTTCAGAGTAAAGGGGATGATATAAGAAGGAACAGGTTATTTGTATGTCTGACTTAAAATTCCTCTATCTCAGAGGCGATGAATTACTTCATAAAATGTGCTCAGGATGGATTCCGTAAAAAATAAAGTTTCGCATAAGGGATCCCTGTATACGAGATATACACAACAAATTTAAATAATGTTCAATGAAGAAAAGTCTGGTGCCTTTGATATTTTATGCTCCATTAAATTTCTCCAAGAGATTATTCTTCTGAAATCCCGTGTTTCATTCCCGCTGTAAATTACCGTTACGTCAGAAGAAAAGTGAAACACCTGCAATTTTACAAAACGTAGAAGGCATGTTTTTGTTCAGATTGACAAGTTATTCAACACACTTGCGATTTTCAGAGTTGGAAAACATATTCAACGTTAAATTTTGCACAGTTATGTTAGAGGCTTCTTTTATATACTTCCCATTTGCTCAAAAGAGTTCAACATCTTTCTCGATATTCTGTTAACAGAGAGAATGTACAACTATTGCCATTCCCAGCGACCTCGTCACACTCGGACTTGGGGACAAACTCTGCTCCACAGAGCACTGAAATATGTTTAACCCAACCCAGGCCACAGGTGGCACACTAGAGCTGTCGTGTAGGGGCGTTTTTCCACTGAGTAGGACTGCACTGTGATGACCCGCAAGAATGAACCCAGGAGTTCTGGATACTACTGGACCAGTTAGCAGTAAACGGTTACCCCACAACACCCTCGGTCGCTGCCCCTGTACGCGCCCGTAAGAAACAAAATAAAAGACTCTACTTCAGCAGAAAGACAAACACCAGGCCGTCTTCTACAAGTTGGAACTTCTTTTGAATCACTGTCAGTTATTACAAGACCACGCAAGGGACTGCCTGTCGGAGATCAAAGGCAGAGCGATGCAAACGTGATTCATGTTTAAATTTACTGTTGATTCCAAATTAATCATATTTTTTGCCGTTGACACATTAACTTTCTCCCATGTAAGATCTCACATCACCTACGGCCTGGTCAATATGCAGAATGAATCCCATGCGTTTGATACAAGCTATTAATGGGTTTAACAACCAGTTTGCTTCTAATCTTCACTTAGGGAAGTCAGCCGGCCGAACTTGTCTACCTAATTTCTGACATGTGGCGCGTGTTTTTGGGAAGCGATGCAATGTTGGCTTCTTCACTTTCGCAGTTAGAGAGGGGTCTAATGTCTCACACTGGTTGAGCAACAGTTCCATTTTTGGATGAATGTGTGACTTTGTGACGGCAAGGAGCAGAAATGAGAATTCTGAGCCGCTTACAACTAGTCTTTTATGGCCGAACAATTTTCAGTTAAACGTTTAGCAACGTAATCGTGCAACGCTTTGCTGAAACAATGAGCAAACATGCGGAGACACAATACTTAGAATAGCAGTCCAGAAGTTTATCGACATCTTCACCTTTGGTGAGGGAAAAACAGTCACCGTGAAGATGCCTTTCTATCCACCATTAGATGGGATTTAGCATTCTACAAACCGAAATAATCGGTCTGTAAATTATCTTGTAACTGTACAGAAAGTACACAATGGGAAACATTTACGGCAACTTCTTTCTTGTTTATTGCAAATATTCCTTTGAAGGCGGGGTTTGGCAGAAATGATTTGTAATTTCTGCTTAGAGGATCAACCATTGGCGAAGTCAGTTGTTCCACCTTCCTGTCAGTTCTGTATGGCCAACACATTGGCAATGAGGAATTTCAGATAGAAGTTTACCCATTCATTTATTACATTTCAGGCAGACGAAATAAACTACCTACTACCTTATTACAGTGGAAGGTTTACCTGTAACGCATTTTTCGCGAAACGCGCGCTTTAAGAGTTCGCATAAGGCTTCTTTGCCCTCTACACCGTTACATGCACAATGACGGCTTGAAGGTATACCAACTCCACGCAAAATGATGTTATCTATATAGTCTCAAATAAAAGCCGACTTTTTATTTAAGCAGACATAAATTACATTTTAATTCTGAATTGAAGGAAATTGCCTGACGGTCAAAATTTGAAAACTTCGCGGAACATTTTACTGCCCAATGAAAAACACTAGAGAGATAATTGGTTCATTTATATTGACCTGCCTGTGAAGAACTCGACGCCTCGGTGGGATTTGAACCCATCGAACCCAGTAAGGGGAAGGCTTTAGTACAGCCAACGCTCTAACCACTTGAGCTACGAGGCCCCGGCGCCCAACCTGCTGCAACGTTTGGAATTCACCAAATCTGATACAGTAAATTGACTTCCCAGGCAGGAGTTCCTAAGTAATTCACCTAGAATCCACCAGATGACTACCAGGCTTACGTAATTTATAGAGGTTTTGCGGATTTTGAACAATTCCTACTGACCCAACTGTGAAAAACTCGGCGACTCGGTGCGTCAATATGAATTATTCAAAATCTGCCAAAACATCTATGAATAATTAGTTGAGTTTGAAACTTAAAAAAAAATGACTCAGTCACAACAGCCCACTAAGTAAGATTCGTCTGTGGGCACTGCCATACCCATTGGAATACCACTCATTTATAAACAATTAATATTGCTAAATCTTCAATTTACTCGTAAGAACATTACGGCAGCTACAGATTTTGCTCGCGGCGGTGACACGGGCCAATTCGCATTATTGCCGGCTTTTCTGTTGATGCTTATTTTATCATCAAACGAAGCAGAGTTTAAGAGATCTCCTTAGAACTGGAAGCAGAAATCTACTGGCATGCACGTTCTTTCTCATGGGTCACAAACAACCGCATTTTGTCCAATAATGGTGGTGGATTTGTAAAAGAGCGGAGTACCAAACAGTCTACTAGAAAGGACCAACAGTTCATCGTTAGCTCCACTCCGTACGTAGAAACAAAATAGACATCCCAGTCGAATTTTTGAGTCAAAGGTTAACTGCCGTTAGAGTGCAGTCTGAAAATGTCACTGGAATAAAAATAATAGTGTCTCAGGTTAGAACTTCGAAGACAGCTCTCACAGAAACGTGATGTTTGGCAAATGATAGTAAAGAAATGATGTTCCTGTTTGGAGGGAAAAATTTCGCAACAACTTATCGTGTTTCTAAACTTCTCAGACATAATGGGGTTACTTACCACCTATTCTATGCAAGCAGGGGAGAAATTCGGAGTGAGCGGGATTAGACCTTAAATAGCCGCTTTGAAAGGTAGAAGGCAGAGAGATAAAGACCTCTATAAGAGTTTTCTCACTAAATCTGCGTGTAGAGTTAGCAGTTGTCTGCGTCCACATACCCATACGATTATCGAATTTTTGAATTTACACACGTGATCTTTTGTGCACGTGGGCAACGTACACTACACAATGAATAAAAGAAAGGGAAAAACTGACTGAGATCGAAGGTTAGACCCTGCCGGTTTTGAACTGAAGCCTGCGATTTGTCATTACAAATGTACGAGCGAATGTAAATGGCAAAATCGAAGAAAGGCAAGTCGCCAAAGAGCGCGGGATCCAAGAATGGAAAGTCATCAAAAAGCAAGAATTCCAAGAAAGGTAAGGGATCCCGGGAGTCCGGCAGAGAGCCCCCAATGGACGCCGCAATACAGACAGAACCAACCTGTGTCTGCTACATTTGTTCTCGGGAATTCAAGGATTATGCCGCTGTTCAGGCACATCTCCTATTAATGGATCATTTTCCACCGAACGACGTTATCAATCAGCAATGCCGGGCCTGTAAAAGGACTATTTTTATAAAGTCTGTAGAGAAACATCAGTGCTGTGAACAGAAGGCCAATTTCATTCGATACATCCAACATGAGTCGGTCCTGAAAATGGGCCCACCCTACCGATGCCTGCTCTGTCGTAGTCGACCCTTTGCCTCAAGAATCGATCTTTCCGTACACATCATTGCCTACCACCGGCCGGGTCGAGACATTGGTTGTTGTGGTTTGTGTAAGTTCACTTTTCAGGAACCACCACCACCTGCACCGTCAAAGGTTCCTACTCCCCCAGCGGGTAGTAATCAGGCCGCTATTCTCCAGTACCAGAAGGATCTACAGTTAGCGGAGGAAGAACGCATGTGCGCTTTTGAGAATGCAGAGATACCACCTGGCCTGGTTGATTTAGATCGACACCTTAAAGAGGATCATTCGGCAGCCTATGCACTTCTCGCTCGTAGAGCCCTGCTTACTAAGTTCCACTTGAGAGCAGCTTATTCCTGTTGTCTCTGCGATCAGGTCTTCCCAAACAACGTGGAATTTCAGGCACACGTACTCTGCCGACACGGAGTTGATCAGCCTATCAAGTATGATCATCGTATCTGCTCCATCTGCAAGGCAGCATTCATGTCGGAGAAGGCATTCAACATACACGTCGTAACTGGCCATCAGCATCAACTTAATTATTTGGCTAATCTGTGGATTCGGCGTGAGATCATGGTCAATGCAACTGACGGTGGACAAACCTGTGGCACATGTTGGCAAGTTTTCCATGAGGACTGGTACCTTCAAGCGCATATAATTGCAGCGCATACAACTTCAGATCCTTTGGTCTGCGGGTGGTGTCGTCAAGACTTTACCGGGTGTTCTGATCCCATATTTGGTTTTGGGGCCTTCCAGCGACATGAGGCCAACCATGGGCGTTACATGCAAGAGCGGGCCATTGAACTGAAGCTGTGCTTTGAACCACTGCCCGAGATACTTTCGGAGGACTTCTCCGACGAGGCCATGGCTGCCGCTTTGGCGAAGAAAGTCGAGGGGGGCAAATCTACCGGGGACAAATCCAAAAGCAAATCTAAGGGAAAATCAAAGAAGGGCAAGGGCCGATCGACCAATTCCTCTCCCAAAAAGAAGAAGAAGAAGTGACTGACTGTCCTGAAGTTGACAGTTGTAAAGATTTGGGCAAACACGCTGGTTTCCACGGTTTGTTATTCACGACATAAATGAGAAATGTAAAGTGCACATTTCTTGATAAAATATTTACCGGTTCATCCTTTGTTATTTCGAGCCTAACAGTTTTACTTACGATTTTTATGGTCCGGTCGCAAAACACTGGTTTGGGGCTGAATAAAAGAAGACAAATCGAATCCCAAACAGATGGTGGCTACAAAAAGGCAGGTAACTGGGACTAAAATGTAGCACTGTTTCTGTCCCCACAGCAAACAAGGACGTCGACCCCCTGAATTCTTCTATACCCCGTTTGGTGCTTAAATTATGACTTCTGGGCAAATGAACAGCTATCACAACAAGCTATTAGCGAATAAAAGACCCTATTCAGTGACTAAACTAAACTCCCTAGAACGACTTCTTAATTATATGAACTCCTCAAGCACATCGGCTGAGATATAACAAGCTAATTTGTTGAGGGTTTCGATGACTTTCCGGTTCTTACTAAAAAAACAGAGCATGTTATTAAAGGCATTCTAATTTCACCTTCTGGTAAACGACAGTCTTATTTTAGGAAATGTCAATTGAATACTACGAGCATCCAAACGACAGAGTTAAAATATAAAAAGAGCCCTAGTTTGCCTGGGCGAGAAGAACAACCACCTAAAATTTGTGGTCAACTGATTACGGCCTTCACTGATACGACCCGAATGCAGGGCTAGATACAACTTTTAATTTTGAGTCAGAGGGGTACGCAGGTTCAAAACAGGCCGCATAAGAAAATATTGGACGTTTGTATTCTGTTCTGTTAGCAAGCAGAATTTAGGAGTGCCACACTCACATTCAAAACTTTCCTGAAGTCAAGACACATACAAGCTCACACATAAGCTCACTGCCCATCTGTGATAAAATTCAAAGCTCTTTATCCAAACTTGGGGTTGAACCATGGTCACCGACAGTATGAAGAAGTCAGAAAGAGTCACTGAATATTTTTAGTCTTGCCAACTATACAAGAGGTAACTCAAACCATAAAATATACTTAAGCTCACAAAAACCTCCGTAAAAATAGCAACAACTAATTGCAGGATGCAGCGCTTTGGGTTACTCTGTGTTTTGCATAAATGAACGGTTATGTTTGGAGTGTAACTCTTGTACCAAAGTTGAAGGAGTAAGGGAAATTTAAAGGAACGGCTTTTATAAAGTACAGACGGGACGATTACTTAAGTCTGCAGAATTAATAAACCATGATCACCCTCTACACCTAAGCTTTCAGTCCTTATGACTTATGACGATATTGCGCAGCACGGTAGTAAATAAAATTACGAGCTTCAAGTAAATAAAAACAACATTAGCCACAGGATATCCTCTTGAACTGCAGTCATGCCGACGCGGTTAACATCAATTCGGCGTTGGAATTAATACTCATAAGAACGGAAACAGTCGGCGACACGAAACACATCCTCAGACAGTGTGCTGTCAGCTCGCTGACGAAGCAAAAACCAAACGAGTTTATTTCGTTGCATGAATTGAAAGCTATGACGATACTAAGGAAGAGTAAACGAATTTCCATTAGGCGCACTGATATCGGCTGAACAACTGTCGTCATGAGCTGGAAACACTACGATGAGAAAGCCAGGTCTCCTCTTGATGACCGTGACTTTTGCAGGCTAGCACAGAACGCATAGGCCAAAGGAGTAGAGGGTCGGCCAAATAAATTACTTGGAGAATTCGGGAGGAAAAATCAGATCGCAGAGATTATATATATATAGCTCCAAATGAAATCGATGGACTTAGTTTTGACCCGATTCTACGGCCTGTCAGAGATTCACAAGAGAAAAGCTACACTGCGACCTATTGTGGCCCTTAAGGGAGCCTCGCCTTAATTCGATGAAATGGATACGCTTAAAGCCGAAGTTTCTCCAATGCAGTTTGACTACCCCGGTTCGATCACCCTACTAAGTACATGCAACGGCTGAGGCTCTTTGGACTCGACGTCGCTATTCACATGCATCCTACCAAATTTGGCCCACGAAGTCATGCGCAAAGCCTTGAATAGACATACTACGGGATTCAGAGCCCATTCGGTGACTTGCAGACGAGGCCATGTGAGAACGCTCTCAAAGAGGTCCAGCTCACTGTAGCATCCCAAAAGTAACAACATGTTAGGCCCGAAACCTTTGAGATCAGTCTATGTGGAACGACTATCTGGAGGCATTTATACGATGACATCTACCTACGTCCCCCGAGGACCCAGCCTGAAACATCACTGATGATGCGTCATGCTCTGTTGCACGTTAAGAACGTTTCAGCAGCGATCGAACGCATTGTCGCTAGACTATTTGTTGGAGTTGCGTACAGATCCAAAGGTACCATGCGCGACAGGGTCATGAAAATCAAGAAGCTATCAGACGTAGTGCATCTTACTCCATACACAAATGGCCCTTGTAATTTTTTAGGTCAGACCAGACGCATGCTCTGACCGTGCATACCCGAATATAAGCTGGTTGTGCAACGCGGTGACGTATTGTCAAAATTGGCTGCCCACAAATTAGAAACGGGTCACCAATTTAACTTCGTGGTCATTAGGGTAAACGCTTACGCTTGAAGCAAGATAATCTGAAAATCGATTGAAGCCAGGGCCTCAAATGAGAAACTAGTCGATCGCTGCATCGAGCTGGCTCCGGCATACAAGGAAGTGCGCAGTCATCTACAGGCCTACGTCAGTGACCGTTAACTGGACGATGCTCCTACAATTTTCGCTCGTTTTACTGCTGCTTTTATTACTGACGATGAACTCTTGTACGTTTCGCTAAGCTTACACTAATAGACGAAGTTTTCCTCTACTTCGCCAGTGTTCTTTCTTACCTAAACATCAGTGTGTTAGTAATGCAAGGACACGCTCTTATTAAAATACACTAAAAAGTCAGTGAAGTTCGAAGTTTTCGGGTCTAGCATAGAACGTTTGACCTATGAGATTTAGCCACAATTTTTAGTCGCAAAACACATTCACTTTTTGAACTTTATCTTGCCCAGGAACTACAGCTGCTAAAATAACCTTTCACAAGCTGCTTAAAACAAGGCTTTTGTGACATTCAAGGAACGGTCCTCATGAGACCTATTTAAAGTTTTGACAGTATAATAACAGGGCATAACTTTACGTCTAAACGCGGCGCAGAAGTTCGGACTTTGTCCAGTAAACAGGCATACGTCAAAGGTATCGGGCTCTACCAAGACATTAAAAGTGGACGCCTATTTGATAATAACTATGAACGTCTCCACTGTCTCAACCTATAATTAGGCATGCCTTTTGTGGATTATTATGAGATTTTGGACACGGAGAGTGTTGTATGAGGCGTAATTTCCTCATTTCACTAAAGGACTAACCTCTTCACTAGTTGGGACTACTTGCATATATGTTGTACGTCATCCCACCATTCGCGAAATATTAATTAACAAATACTTAAAATATCATTAGACGCATACTTAATGATTAACGGACACTAATATAGAAATTTGGGCCCATTTCTAATAAAAAATGAGAGTCTGCCCCTCTTTTCTGAAATCAAAAGCTTTCGTTTTTTAGAGAAGCTCTTCACAAAAGAATTGTTTGCGAACGAGTTCATACTCTCATCTTTGACATGACATGTTTACGCAAGGAGTCAAAAACCCCTTTCGTATCGAAGTTAAAGATAAGCCGGAGATTCAGATACTTGCGCATAATCAAAAAGTTTGTCTGAATATCAAGACGTTAGGTAAAAGCGTTTTTAACAGTTGTAAACTCAACAGATAACATAGTAAGATTTACAAAGGAGGTAAGAGCGGATACCATTAAAAATTCTTGAACTACATAACCAAGCAATTTCAAGATTGACAAGAAAGTGGCGGACTATATACATAACGCCAACTCCAACCATCATAGAAACGTTAGAATTGGGGTGAATTTGTCATTTCCCTTAGCTTCTGCGAAGTACGAAAAAAAGTGAGGAAAACCTAATGTGCGAACAGACCGAACACAACGATTTACAAAAATGGATCACTCCAAAAATGCAAAGAGATTTTAAAAAAACCTCATTATGAGATAAACTGGGGAATGAAATTGTCGGTTTCTATGATCGAGGTGTAACTTATGTTACACAAGGGGGTTTAGACACGCTGAATGCCAGGGTAAGTTCTATGGCCTAAAATAAAATTATTTAAACAAGCCACAGCGGGGATGATCCTCTCTCTCCATAAGGAGATATGACAGTGGTTTAAATGGAAAACTAAAAAAAATCAGGGAAAGAAAAGGTTCAAAATCACCTCAATGCTACGTCTGCGTTCCAAAAACATAGAAGGACAAACATGGTTTTGAAATCGACAAAAGAATCATTGCAGTGGTATTTTCTATGATCGAACACGCAATTTAGAGCACCGCTATACGCAAAACCTTTGGCCTCTGTTAGTTTATTCCTTCCCCATTAGTTCAGAATAGGTTTATATAACCCAATGTATGTTTGCTAACCTCCGTCCTGTCCGTCATATTTCTCACATTTAGCCAAAGGCTGTTTAGATAAGTGTCGACCTTCCTAAAGTGGCTCAAAACTTTTGACCGATTTCTTGTTTTTTTTCAAAACTTTAACCCTCCCTTCACTCCTAACTCCTTTCTTATCCGACGCTCGAGGCTGAGGGCGTTAACAAGAAAGACCGTATCAACAAATAGGACTTTAAAGCAAGCTTGAACTCCAGTGTACTTGAGATGTCGGTGTATCTTTTACGGTTTTCCGTGTTGCAAATCAACTGTGTATAAAGATAAGACCTGTACAGTGTGATTATCAAAACCTCCAGAGAAAGGTATTTCTTGAAAGCATTTACCGCATTAGCGAGGTTTCGGACATTCTTTCGAATTCAGATAACCGTTGGGATTATATCTGTGGAATCACTCAAACACAAAACTTCGCATTGGGAAAAATGCACGTCCATGACAAAAATTGACGATGCGT